GTTTTATTTTACAAGGTTTTTTTTTTAAATTTTATTTTTAATTGTCATTATAAAGGTGATGTACAAAGGGGTTATAGTTACATCAGTCAGATAATGAGTACTTTTCTTTTTGAACATAGCCCACCCCTTCCCTTGTTTTCTCCCAGTTTTTCCCTCCCATCCCCACTCACTAGTTGTATAGTTCATTTTAACATAGTGAGTTCCACTGATGTGTTTGTTCACCCTTTGTCCCTCCATTTCTGTGCTATTTTACAAGTTTATGCTCCCAGCCTTTACTCACCTACACATGTCTGTCCTGGAAGGAGGACATACCACCGCCCTGGCTCCGGAGCCCTTCAAATGCCCAAATCCAAACACACAACTCCTGTACACTAAATGCCACGGTGTTTAAATTAACTTTTTTTTGATCGGTTGTGGGGCTTGAACTCTGGGCTGTCCCTGAGCTCTTCAGCTCAAGGCTAGCACTCTACCACTTGAGCCACAGTGCCACTTCAGGCTTTTTCTGCTTATGTAGTGCTGAGGAATCGAACCCAGGGCCTCATGCATGCGAGGCAAGCACTCTACCACTGAGCCACCTTCCTAGCCCTTTAATGCCACGGTGTTCACAGACACCTTTGTTCCTCCTCCTGTGTGCTGTGTCTCTCGACTTGTGTTGTGTATATTATCATAGATGATGGTTATGCTGCAGTAAGAAAAAAACAAAAAGCTGGACGCGGGTGGCTATAATCCTAGCTACTCAGGAGGCTGAGATCTGAGGATAGTGGTTCGAAACCAGCCTAGGCAGGGAAGTCGGAGATACTCTTATCTCCAAATAACCATCAGAAAACCAGAAGTAGCACTGTGGCTCAAATGGTAGAGCACTAGCCTTGCGCAGAAAAAGCTCAGGGACAGTGCCCAGGCCCTGAGTTCAAGCCTACAAACAGTAAGAAAGAGAAGCAAAGTCCGTACATATCCAATATAGTACAGATGCAGATTTTTCCCTCAAAGATTTCTGGCTAGTGGTTGGCTGAGTCTATGGATATAGATTTCAGATACAGAAGGGCTGGCTAGGTAAAAATACTGGGGGTCTACAATGAGTCTGTGAATGAAGAGTAAATGAACGAACTAAACCTCCTTTAGCCAGTCCAAGTCATGGTGCTCTGAAAGTCCTCACTGCCCATGCCACTGACGTCAGGACCCAGGTGAGGGCTGGGTTGGTGAAGGGATGTCTGCCCTTGGCAGTGGACATTGAAGCATATTCACTCGGTAAGCTGGGGTGAGCCATTGGTTAGCCGCAGAATGAGCAGCCAGGGCCGGGGGGCACAGGAGAGCTAAGATCAGGCCCCAGCCTTGGGCTGGGCTGCCAGGGTCGGGCCACTGCCTGGGTATTTGATAGGGTGGATTGATCCTGTCTATTGAGGGACTGCTGGTCTGGACACTGTCCACGCAGATGGGTGACCACTAGCCATGCACTCCACCAAGGAGTGTGGTGACAGGCCGAGACCAGGCCTATAAGAGGAGCTTGTTACTCCTCTGCCTTGGGAAGGTTCTGTGGTCAGTGGGCTGAGACAAGAGGAAGGAGGTCCTCCAGAAGCCCAGGAGAGCTAGGTAATCACGAGCTACAGATCCATAGCCACTTCCTTTGCTCTGCCAGGGGGGAGTGGCCACTTGTCCTCTTGGGCAGCCTGTGTTAGCCATTACCACTTCCTCAGATCTGAGTCAACGTGCTTCGGGACACTCCTGAAGCTATAACTCCTGAGTGCCTCTCTTTCTGGGGGACATAGCTCCCCACCCCCAGAGAATTCTGACCGCTTCCTGGAACAAAGATTCCCCAACACACACCTTCCTGTCCTCAAATACCCTGTCTATCTTCACCCCAGCATCAAATTTACTATGTTAGAGACGTAAGGGTGGCACAGAACTTTCTAGATGCAGCAGTCAGGGTCCTCTCTTCTCTGGATCCCTTGGCCAGCTGTGAGGAAAAAGCACCCAATGGCTGTGGTCACTGGGCAGAGCTGTGCCCTTGGGTTGGAACCTGCTGAGTCCAGCTTCCGTGTAGGTGAAAATGAACCTGCTTTCCCACTGAAGAGGAGAGTACTACACCTTAGTGACTGCATCCCTGGCAGCCACTGAGTCCAGCACCCTTCGCAGCGCCAGAGCTGGCCTCATAGCTGCTACAATGACATGACTGACTCCGGCCTCTTTTTTTTTTTTTTTTTCTGGACCTGGGGCTTGAACTCAGGGCCTGGGTGCCCTCCCTGAGCTCTTTTGCTCAAGGCTAGCACTCTACCACTTTGAGCCACAGCACCACTTCTGGTTTCCTAGCGGTTACTTGGAGATAAGAGTCTCACAGACTTTCCTGCCTGGGCTGGCTTTGAACCTCGATCCTCAGATCTCAGCCTCCTGAGTTTCTAGAATTACAAGGCTGAGCCACCAGCACAGCACACACACACCTCAAAAGCTCTCTTTGGATGAAGTTTCATTGGGACACAGCCCTGTGCACTTGTTTGAACGCTGCCTATCTGGCTGCTGCTTGTTAACAAGACAGTTCAGTGGCCTGTGACACAGATGAAAATACTTTGCTGCCTGGCCCTTGGGGAGAAGGGTGGTGGTCAGGCTGTTGTTCGCTGTTTGTTTGGAAGTGGGGAGGCGGGAGGTAGTCTGGCTGTTTCACCACCTGTGGCGTTGGAGGTGGGGAGGAGGGTTGTGATCAAGCTGTTCTTATCTGATTGTTTAGAGGTAGGGAAAAGGGTGGTAGTCAGGCTGTTCCTGTCTAGTTGGAGGTAGGGAGGGTTTGTAGTTTTGCTATTCTCTGGTGGTATGGGGGTGAGGATGGGGTGGTGGTTTGGTGGTTTGGGGGGTAGAGGCCAGGAGGACAGTGGGATCACATGAGGTTTCCTGCCGGTCTGGTGGGAGATGGTTGTCATTGTGCCCTGGCACCTGTCTCCTGAGGTCCTGCTATTGGTGCTTGCTGTAGGACCAGCAGTGTGACTGTCACAGTGGGGTGCTTGATGGGGGGGGCATCAGACTGGGGAGGTGGCACTTGGCATGAAATGAGCGTGGGGGAGGCATCGGGAGTACAGAGAATCCACGAGCTGTGCTGTGGGTTCAAGTGACAGCAGAGGGGAGGAGGGGTGAGAGATTCAGGGGTTGTTTGAAGAACAGATGTGGGGCCCATGCTGCTGGACACAGGGCAGAAGGGCTCTGGAAGCTCAGAGCCCAGGGGGAAGATTACATTCCAGCCAGCAGGGATAGAGATAGAAGGGAGACCTGAGGGTACTGGGGGCATGCACAGGTAGGAGGTGCTTTGGGGTGTGACAATAGGGTGGTTGGTTGGGATCAGAGCAGAAGCTCGGGGATTGGATCCCAGCACAAGGAAGGCGGGCAGTGAGAGATGAGGAGAAGGCCAGAACCATGGCAGGAGCCTGGAGTTTGCTTGGAGTGGGCGCCACTGTGGGCCCCTTTTAGCTAAGAAGTGATAGAAAAACCATGTACCTGTTGACTCACCCCTGTAATCCCAGCTACTCAGGAAGCAGTTTGGGCAGGAAAGTCCATAAGACTGACTTCACACACACACACACACACACACACACACACACACACACACACACACACACACACACACTGAAAGTGAAGGAAAATTGATAGTGGAAGTAAAGGGGAGGTAGGAAGACCTGCTAGGCAAATGTTGGGGGACCAGGTGGGGTGGGGTGGCTACCTTTGGGTGACAGTTGGCTGTAGAAGCAGCCCAGGCTGGGCCCCAATGTTTAGGCTTTACAATGGGATGGGCCACTGATACCAGGGCTGCCAGCAGGCCTGTGAAGCAGCTGGCACTGGGGGCCCAGCACTGCCCCTTAACTCACTTCTCTCCACCCTGCAAAGAAGTTAAGAGGTGGTTTGAATTTCACCTTGGCCCTTCCTTGCCAGAGGGTATAGGTGGTACCCAGGATTCCACTGGGCTTTTCCTCCTGCTGCTGTCCTTTGGCATACTGACCAGTCCAGTAGCCTATAGACCCCAGAGGAGTAAGTAGATCACTTAGGGTGTAGTCCCTGCCTCTCTCTAGCCCTCATGATTTTTTCTTTTTTCCAATCAGTCGTGGGGCTTGAACTCAAGGCCTGGGCACTGTCCCTGAGCTCTTTTGCTCTACCACTTTGAACCACAGCTCCACTTCTAGTTTTCTGGTGGTTCATTAGAGATAAGAGTCTCAAGGATTTTCCTACCCAGGCTGGGTTTGAGCAGTGATCCTCAGATCTCAGCCTCCTGAGTAGCAAGGATTACAGGCAGTGAGCCACCGGTGCCCGGCTAGACCTCATGATTAACAAAAGTAGCAGGCGTTCTCCAAGCTTGGTCTCCCTGAGAGGTGGAGCCTGTGTGTGGGGCCCCACAGGCAGGATCCTCACTTATGACTGTGAAGGCTGGAGAGCTGGTTCTGTGGGTCTCCACCGCCCCACCTCAACTCTGACTCAGAAAGAGAGGCTGCCCACATTATGTGGAGGCCCTGGCAAGCGGCTAGTTTCCTGAGACTTGTCCCGTGCATTCCATTCTCCCTGTAGGTTTCTGATTCAGGCTGAGGTGTCTGCCAACTACTCAGGGATTGAGATTAGACAGCAGGAAGAACTTAACAGCAAGTCTCCAGCCTGGCCACTGGGGAATCCCTTGAGCACCTTGATGTCCTTCAATGTGGTGCTGTTTGCCCTCATCAGCATCCTGATTTGGGGAGGGGCTGGAGGGGGAAAAGCTTCCTCTGGAAGGAAGACTTCTTTCTGCCTCAGGGTTTCAGGGAAAGCCTCTGGTACTGAACTCTATAGCTTCGATTTGCAAAATCTCTCCTCCACCCGCGGAGAGCCTGTGGGTAAATAGTAAGTGGGCAGGCAGAGTTATGAAATGGATCATGGGCCCCGTTTTGCTTTATTGCATTGGGGTAGGAGAGCTGGCTTTAAATGACAACCCCATGACAGATGGCGCGGGCCCCATGCCAGCCAGCCCTGTTAACCCTTTGCCTCCCACTCTCGGCCTGCAGCCCTATGACCTCGCTGTTGACGCGCCTTCCACCCGCTGGACTGGGACTACAGATCTGACCACCCCCCGTCCCCTGGCATCCGCCTGCGGCCGAGAGAGCACACGACCTGCCCCGCCCCGCGGCCCACCCCGCCCCAGCACCATGCCGATCCTCAAGCAGCTGGTGTCCAGCTCGGTGCACTCCAAACGCCGGTCGCGCGTGGACCTCACCGCCGAGATGATCAGCGCGCCGCTGGGTGACTTCCGCCACACCATGCACGTGGGCCGGGCCGGGGATGCTTTCGGGGACACCTCGTTCCTCAACAGCAAGGCCGGGGAGCCCGACGACGGCGAGTCTCTGGACGATCAAGCCTCGGCCGCGTCATCGTCCTCATCCAAGCGCAGCCTCCTGTCCCGGAAGTTCCGGGGCAGCAAGCGGTCCCAGTCGGTGACCCGGGGGGACCGGGAGCAGAGGGACATGCTGGGTTCCCTGCGGGACTCTGCGCTCTTCGTGAAGAACGCCATGTCCCTGCCCCAGCTCAACGAGAAGGAGGCCGCGGAGAAGGGCTCCGGCAAGCTGCCCAAGAGCCTGTCGTCCAGCCCGGTGAAGAAGGCCGAGGAGGCCGGCGGGGAGGAGGCGGGCGCCCGCCGGAACGGGGCCGCGGGCCCCCCCGCCCCGGACCCCGTCCTGGAGGAGCAGGCCTTCGGGGACCTGACGGATCTGCCCTTCGTGCCCAAGGCCAGCCACGGGCTGAAGCACGCCGAGTCCATCATGTCCTTCCACATCGACCTGGGGCCCTCCATGCTGGGCGACATCCTGAGCGTCATGGACAAGGACGAGTGGGACCCCGACGCCCAGGGCGGTGGCGGCTACCGGGACGAAGAGGACGAGCCCGGCCTTGGCGTAGGGGGCGGCGGGGGCATCCGGGGCGCGCTCCTGACCCCCGCTGCGGGGGAGGCAGCCCCTCTCCTGGGGAGACCCGAAGACAAGGCCGCGCCCGACCTGGCCGCCTCCGTGCCCGCCTTGCCCCCGCACGCCGCCCTGGAGGAGGAGGAGGAGGGGTGGGCAGCGGCCGCCCCCAGCCCCAGCTCGGCCCGCAGCGCGGGCAGCCACACCATGCAGGACAGCAGCTCCCTGTCCAGCGGCACCTCGGGCGTCCCGGAGGAGCGCAGCCCGGCCTTCCGGGGGCTGGACAGGGCCCGGGCCGCGCCCCCGCGGCAGCCAGACAAGGAGTTCTCCTTCATGGACGAGGAGGAAGAGGACGAGATCCGTGTGTGAGGCCGGCTGGAAGGAGCTCCCCTCCCTCGCACAGCTCCGGGCTGTACCCGAGTCCTGCCTCCACACCCCAGTGTGTGACCCTTTGACCACAAAGCCTCGGCCTCCCACGGGTGGACCTCGCGGATGAGGGGGTGCCGGCTGAGACCTCCCCCCCTCGCCCCAAGGAGAGCTTGGGGGAATAGCATTGGTGCTGACTGGTCATCTGACTTTGGGGCACCCCATGCCCACCTTTCAGTGCCTGCGGTCCAGCAAGAATCCTCCTCCTGGCCTCTTCCTCTGGCCTGGCCTCAAATGGATGCTAGATGTCAACCCGGGCTGTGGACCCTTGGCTTCCTTTTCTCTCCCAGAGTCCATGGTGCCCACCAGGGAAGTGTGGGTAGCAGGGGGCAGAGGTGGTCACAGGCCACCAGCCCCTCCCTTCTCCACCCCCAGCTGCCTCACTGGAAACCAGCTGCCCCTGGGGATTGGGCCTTGACCTAAAGATCCCTGTCAACACTAAATGTCACCCGCCCCTTCCAGGAGAGAGGACAGGAGGGGGGCAGCTCCCAGGTCCCTGGATTTTCAAGAAGGGGCCCTTCCAGGGTAACAAGACCACAGTCCTGGGCACTGCCCTGGGGGTGTGTCTGTTCTTTATTATCTGTGTTTAAATCTGAGTAGAGCAATGTTCACAACAGCATTAATTAGATCCACCACCAGGAGAAGGGGGTCCTCGTAGGAAACCTTTATACTAAGTCTCTCTCCTCTTGGAAATTCACAGTAACTGTTTGTATACTCAAGTCTAGTGATGGCCCCCCGAACTATGAGGGCTGGGTACCCACAGTTTTTGTGTTCCCCTCCCTAGTTAAACGAGGCCTGTGTAGAAAAATTCTGGAAAATTCTAATTGTTTAAAAACCTAATAGATCCTTTGTAGAGTCTGGAAACAGGGAGGGTGGGGGCCGGGGATAGGGCACTGCCTGGACTCCCAGGTCCATCCATCTCCTCCCCCACCCTGTGGCAGGCACTTCCTCTTCTCTGCCCCTCCCCACTGCTGCTAAGACCAGTGCCCCAAGGGAGGGTTGCCAGATTTAACACACACACACACACACACACACACACACACACACACACACACACACGATCAGAAGCCTGGGTTTAATTTGAATTTCAGGTAACAAAGGATCTTTTCTTTTTCTGTGTCCCATGCAATATTTTTGTTTAGGTTTTTTTTTTTTTGGGGGGGGGGGGGGTTGTTGAGACCAAGGGCTCTATACTTGGCCCAGACTGGCTTGGCACTGGAGGGCCTTCTGTCTCAGCCTCCCCAAAGTGCTGCCTTTTGTTCAGAGGTCTGGGCCATCACACCCACCCAGTTGGCTTGCTATCTGGAACATTCTTACGTTGTTTGTTGTTTTTCTGAAATTCAAGTTTTGCTCAGCTCCTGTAACTCTACCCAGGGCTCAGGCTAAGAGCTGGGATTTGGGCCCCTGGGGTGACAGCGGATTATTTTTCTGTCCTGGGAACTGGCTGACCCACCTCCCAGACTAGGATGGCCCGTGGGAGGCTGGAGAGAACAAAGGACACACAACTACGCAACCCAGCTGGCTGGGGGGGGGGGGTGGCTCAAGTGATAGAGTACCAGCCTAGCAAGCTTAAGGTCCTGAGTTCAAGCCCCAGTACTGCCAAACAAACAAAACACAGGCCCAGTCAGCTAAGGGTAGCTGCCTGGGCCCTGACTCTGAGACACTAACCTGGCTCCCTAGCAGGCGCCCAGGCCACCCAGGTCCCCCTGTGGCTGACAGTGCACTTAGCTCCTACACAGGCTGATCCCGGAACCTAGAACCTAGAATTGCTGACTGGGGCGCACGTCACCCAGCCACCTTTGGGACTCTTCAAAGTCCCTTCCAGAGACTGTAAACTTTGTGAGTTTTTTCCATGCTAAAGCAACAAGGAACTATTAAAAAGCCCTCTAGCAAACGTGGTGTCTTGTATTCTGCCTTTACGGGGTGTGAGGGGGCGGGGGGAGCCCCCCATCTGGCTTCTCTCTCGAAATCTCTTAGGTGCCATGCTCTCCTGCACCATCCTCAGCCCCCTTGGAAGGGCAAGGCTCAGTACCTGGGACTCTGGTGTCTCCACTGCTACTGACACATGGTGAGGAGGGGGAGCCTTACTCAGCAACTGCATTATAAGGTGAGGACACTGCCACTCCTATAGAACGGGGCTGCAGATATTGCAGACATGGTGCTGATGGGAGACATGGCTCAAGTGGTAGAGCACCAGCTGTGAACAAGCAAGCCCAGCCAGAGTGTAAGGCTCTGAATTCAGATCTTGGTACATGCAAAAACAAAAAAACCCAAACCTCTGCTCTGTTCACTACCATTCCTGGGAGCAGCAAAGCTTTGGTTTGGAGCCTTGGGAAACAAGGCTGGCCCATTAGCCAAGGCCCTGATGGCTCTCTGGGAATGCAGGGGAAACTTGCTCTTTCTTGGGCATCCACAGAGAAATTTAGGCTCCTTATTCATCTTGTCTCTGGGAAGCAATTAGAGACATAATTAAAATGTCACCCAGGGCCCTCTGTAGATGGGCTCATTAGAGCTAGTGAGGGACGGGGTGTGTATAAAGACTTGTGAGCAGAGCAGGGCAGTGACCCTGAGGAGGAAGATGGAGCCTGAGCCAAGTTCTGTGGCACAGGGGGCAGCCCATGTGGGTGGACGGTGGAGGGGGTGTGATGAGGCCTTGGATGTTGCAGCCTGGTTCAGGGATGACAAAAGAAAGGAACTGCTTGACAAGCTCTGGGCTGTTCGGGGTCTGAGGGAAGCACCTAGGCCTGACATCTGTTTTGACCTTGTTGGATCAACCAATGCAGGCCACCAGAGATGCAGAGAGACCCAAGACATGAGCCTAGGGGAGATGCACGTTCTTCATCCAAAGTTTGAAGGGTTTTGTTTTTTTTTTTAATTGTTGGTTGTGGGACTTGACCTCAGAGCCTGGGCGCCGTCCCTCAGCTCTTCAGCTCAAGGTTAGCATTCTACCACTTTGAGCCACAGCACCACTTCTGGTTTTCTGATGGTTAATCAAAGATAAGAGTCTTGTGGACTTTTCTGCAGGAGGATGGAGTTGGGAAGCCAGCCTGGGCTAGGTAGACCCTCTCAGCAGGGAACGGGTGGCTCAAGTCTGTAATCCTAACCACTCAGGAAGCTGAAATGTGGGGATCATAATTTGAAGCCAGCCCTAGCAGGAAAGTTGGTGAGACCCTTATTTCCAATTAAGCACTTAAAAAAAGCTGGAAGTGGAGCTCAAGTAGCAGAGCACTAACTGTGAGCAAAAAAGCTCAGAAACATCACCCAGGCCCTGAACTGTGGCTTTGAACTGTGATCCTCAGAGATCTCAGCCTCATGAGTAGCTAGGATTATAGGCATGAGGATGAGCCACCAATGCCTGACAAATCTGAAGTTTTGTGTGTCGTAAGTTCATGGTTGAACCCTTGTGTAGGCTGAGCCACAGCACCCCTGGGTGTATTCAGTTAGGGGATCCTTCATCCCTGAGAACTCTTGAAAGGATCCTACAGAGCAAGTCCCATCATTTAATTTTCTTCAAACTTATTAGAATCAATTAGTTGTATGGGGGCTTTCCTAGTATTTTAATTGGAGACATGAGTTGTACAAAGAGGGGTGATTGTGACAGTTCCAAACACCCTTCCCATCCCTCACCCTCCTCCCCTCCTTCCTCCTCCCGTTAACATAATGTCAACAGATTTCATTGTCCTATTTTCATACATGCAAATCAACTACTTTGACCACATTCCCTCTCTATGTATGGGAATTTACCCCCTCCAGCTGCTGCCCCCCCCCCCCCCCCCGAGCCTAGTTTACTTTCCCATCACTCATTTGTTAGAAATGTGTATTAATTGTACCAAGGGATTTTACTATGGTATTTCAGGCATGCATATATGTTGCTTCGAATAACCCTCCCTTGCTCTTTCTTCACCCCTCCATCCCAAGTGGATTTCATCTTGACATGCCGTTATACAGTGTACCATGCTCATACTTCCTCTGGCACCCTCCTCTCATTCCCCCCTTCAATTTCCTTTTTGAGATGGGATGTGTGTGTGTGTGCCAGTCTTGGGGTTTAAACTCAGGGCCTGGGTAATGTCCCTGAGCTTTTTTGCTCACAGTTAGTGCTCTGCTACTTGAGCTCCACTTCCAGCTTTTTTTAAGTGCTTAATTGGAAATAAGGGTCTCACCAACTTTCCTGCTAGGGCTGGCTTCAAATTATGATCCCCACATTTCAGCTTCCTGAGTGGTTAGGATTACAGACTTGAGCCACCCGTTCCCTGCTGAGAGGGTCTACCTAGCCCAGGCTGGCTTCCCAACTCCATCCTCCTGCCGCAGCCTCCAAGATGCTGAGATGAGAGGTGGCCCCTCATGCCCACCAGCTCCTAGAGTCTCCTAGAGTCAGGTCTTAACCTCAGGAATGCAGACCAGGCCTTACCAGCAACCCCTTCCCAGAGGGTCCCACCCTCTCCACCCCAGGGGCCTGCACTGTCCTCACCTGTATACAGTGGACCCTGGCCTTACAGCCTTGATTTAGGAAACTAGAAAGGTAGGAAGAACTACCAGTCTCCTCTAGTCCCTGTGGCCTCCTGCCAAGCAGCCAGATGGAAGTCAGGGGAAAAGTGGAGGGAGGGAGCAGTGGTTGCAGGCAGATGGATGTTGGTGGTTTGGACTCTGAAACCTGTTGTTCAAACCCACGGGGTTGCTGTTCTCCCAGAGGGAGACCATCAGGAGGGGACAGGGCAGCCAAGGACGGCTGCTTTCCTGGCAGGAATCCAGCCCCAAAGTGACACTTGGCATGCTAAGAAATAAAAAATACCTGTTGAGACCGCAGGATTCTGCTGAATTTTCTTTTTTTTTTTAATGCCATGCTTTGTTCCAAAAAAGAGTTGGAGGCAGTTTATGAAAATACATAAAAGACAATGGGATAAAAATAGATCAGAGAGAAAACAAGGCTGGAACAAATAGTACCACAAACTAAGAGACATACACATGTAATTATATACACAGGGACTCCACGTGGACCTCCACTGTCCCCAAAGGTGAGTCCCAAGTTGGGCTTGGAACTCCCTGTCAGTCAAAGTCCAGAGAGAAGTCCACCTATTACAAGAGTCTGAATAGTAAGCTGGGCACCGGTGGCTCACGCCTATAATCCTAGCTACTCAGGAGGCTGAGATCCGAGGATCACAGTTCAAAGCCAACCTGGGTAGGAAAGTCCATAAGACTCTTATCTCTGATAAACCACCAGAAAACTGGAAGTGATGCTGTGGCTCAAGTGGTAGAGCGCTGGCCTTGCGCTGAAGAGCTCTGGGACAGTGCCCAGGCCCAGAGTTCAAACCCTATAACCACCAACAACAACAAAAAGTGAGATCCTTATCGCCAATAAACCAGTAGAAAACGGGAAGTGGCACTGTGGTTCAAGCAGTAGAGCACTCTCCTTGAGCTGAAGAGCACAGGGACAATGCCCAAGCCCAGAGTTCAAGCCCCACGACTGACCAAAAAAAAAAAAAAAAAAAAGGAAGGAAGGAGGGGAGGGAGGGAGAAAGGAAGAAAGAAGCAAGGGAGGGAGGGAGATGAAGTCTTTTGGACCTTCCTAACCAGTCTGTCTTCAAACCACAATCCTCAGATCTCAGCCTCCTGAGTAGGTAGGATTACAGGTATTAACCACCAATACCCAGCCATATATATATATATTTTTTTTTTGTCTGGTCGTGGGGCCTGAACTCTGGGCCTGGGCGCTGTCCCTCAGCTCTTCAGCTCAAGGCTAGCGCTCTACCACTTGAGCCACAGCGCCACTTCCGGCTTTTTTCTTATGTGGTGCTGAGGAATTGAACCCAGGGCCTCAGGCATGCAAGGCAAGCGCTCTACCACTGAGCCACCTTCCCAGCCCCCTAGCCATATTATATATTAAAACATTTTTTTTTTTTTTTGGTCAGTCATGGGGCTTGAACTCTGGGCCTGGGCACTGTCCCTCAGCTCTTCAGCTCAAGGCCAGCACTCTACCACTTGAGCTACAGCGCCACTTCCGGTTTTCTAGTAGTTTATTGGAGATAGGAGTCTCGCGGTCTTTCCTGCCTGGGCTGGCTTTGAACTGTGATCCTCAGATCTCAGCCTCCTGAGTTTCTAGGATTACAAGGCTGAGCCACCAGCAACACACACACACACACTCTCACACACCCCAAAAGCTCTCTTTGGATGAAGTTTGTCTATATATTTTCATCTGGTTTTAGAATTAAATGAACACGTCTGTGATTCCCCTAAAAGCACTGAAGGCTCTGACCCTGTCCTGTGCCACGGAGCCTTGGCCTGGGGGGCTAGGAGCCCAGATGGGAACAGCCCGTTAAAGATGAACGGATCTGAGCCTGTGATGCCGAGGGCTTTGCTGGGATGGGGGACCCAGGGTCTCTCCTTAGACAAGGCGACTGGGGCAGGAGCCCCCCAAGGAAGCTAAAAGATGGGGACCATCATGTGAAGAGCAGGGCGACCCTTGTGGAGTCAAGGACACACTCAGCTTTTAGCCCAAACACTGGTGTGTGTGTGTGTGTGTGTGTGTGTGTGAGAGAGAGAGAGAGAGAGAGAGAGAGAGAAAGAGAGAGAGAGAGAGAGAGAGTGGGTGGGTGTTCAGGGTTGGGAAGACAGGAACAGTGACCTGGGGAAACTATATAGAGTTTGGCCTCAGGTGTCTGAAGCAGTGAGTCAGCTCTCCATTTCTGTAACGAACACTGGCTGGAGACAGGAAAAGTCCACAGCTGCTTCAGTCCCAAGGCTCCAGTCATGGCTGGTTGGCGCCATTGTCTGAGGGCCTGTGGCGTGAGTCAGTGCGCCACGGGGGGGGGGGGGGGGGGGGAACACGTGACACCACAGAACCACTCACCTACAGCCAGGAAGCAAACACGTGACGCCACAGAACCACTCACCTACAGC